GCAGGAGCAACTTAGAATATGCTAGATGGTTTTAATCTAGACTGGACAAAAGCAAAAGTCACTTTTGCTAATAGATAACTTTCTAATTGGTCGGTAGCTTTTATTTCATTAAAATATTCTTGCTGGAAGCTTTGGAGGTTATATTTTTTATACTACGAACCAAAATGATTGATTTTGTGTAAGAACCATATTCATCCACTGCTCCTCTGACACGGCAGTCTTTCTTCAATTTTCCTGCATTCTTTTCACAATATTACCAAACAATTGACATTTACCTAAGCTTGAAGTAGGGGTGGGCACAAGTAGTGTTCAGTGTTTTTTATTATTATTATTTTAATGTTTTTTAAGAAGGAAACATATCCCTAGGTTTAAAACTGGGGAGGAATCTTGGCTCATTTAAAGCAGCATCGAGGTGGGATACTGCAAACAAGGTTTGTTTGCCACCTAGAAAATGTAGTGTATTCACAATTCATATTCAATTTCCTGCCTTTACATGAAAGGATTCTGGATTTCAGAGACTGATGGTGGGGTGACATTGAATACAAGATTGTGTGGCACTTTATAGAACTTTTCTTTTATTAGCAGCTCTATAATCACATTAAGTTAGACTGAAAATTTGAACTAATTCTTTCCCTTGAGGCCCAGGCTGTAATAATGGTAAAAATCTGTGAAATAGGATAAATACAATTCAATAATTATATTGATAAATAAAATGAAAATCAACTAATTGTGTCATTCACTCAGTTGCCTGCCTCCGTTGTTGCTGCCTTTCTGCATCAGCGACTGCTAAACTTTTTCTGTCACACTTCAATAAATTTAATTGTGCAGAATAAATGAGCTAATTTTTGAAGTCACAGGCTCTGTTTGCAAGATAAGGTTGGTGATTTATTGACCTCCTCTAACTCTGTAAGAGTGTCACCCTCCTTTTTACTTTGACAACCATAGGAGGGGTTTTTGTCCCCCTTCACCTACAGCCTTGCTAAATACTATTTTGTATATTTACCTTCCAAGCTCATTTTCTAGAAGTCACATGATACACCACAATAGACCAAAGATCCCTGTTTAAGTTGGTGGCTACACAGACTATTCCAAGTGATTAGTGGAGCTGTGGATTTTTCATCTTTCTTTCTAGTGCTATTTTTTTCTGATGATTCAGAGATTTCATTTTCTGAGTTTTCAAATAGGTAGTTTCTAAGGGGAAGTACAAGAAAGGGGCATAGATTAACATAGATTAATTTCCTTTTTTTTCAAAAGGTCTGGTCTAATGTCATTCATGAATCATGAGTGCAAGGATGCACAGTTATTTCAGTGCTCATTCACAATGATTGTTTGACCATGAACACAGGTCAATATTAGGCATTAGACATGTCTTATTAAAGTATGGCTCGCTTTTTTGACTTTTATTTCTGTGTCTTGGATTTTGTTTTTAGGTGCTGGCCATCTCATCTGTTGTGTACTGCTGCAATTGTGGCAGCAATGAGTTCACTACACTGACATAAAGTTGTAGGAGTTAGTAGTCTGCACCCCTTCTCCAACTCTTGTATTTACTTTGATTGTGAGTTGGTTTTTGTTAGTTTTTTTTTTTGGTTTGTTTTGTGTTTGTTTGTTTGTTTGTTTGTTTTTTTGTTAGCAAAACGTTTGTATGACAGCCACAACAACCTTTTTCCATAAATCTGGATCTTTTGCTCCGTACTTTAAATTATAGCCACGAAACAACCTGTATGCATACAAAAAGGGTTGATTAGGTATTGTGGTACAACACTATCTCTGTTATAGCAGACAAATCAGTTGTCATGCTATAGCAATATGATCCCTGAATAAAAAATCTTGGTATCCTCTTGAGTAAAAAAAAACTCTTCACAGAAAAGTGAAATCAGTGTCAACACATTGATTATTGGGGAAAAAAAAAAAAAAAAAAAAAAAAAAAAAAAGTTCTCAAAGTTATGCCTCTCTGGCTCTGGCAAATAAATACTGTAAATGAGAAGGGCAGGGCAGGAACACCTTCTTTCTTTTATTAAATGATTACCTGTTGAGGTTCATAGGGCCATGCAAACCAATTTTCCATCTCTGGGTATGCTATGTCTGTTGTTCAGAGTGTGATTAAACCTACTCTTCTCTGACTATGATGCTAGTAACATAGCAAATCAAATATATATGAAAACTATCTAGACTTCGGCAAGTTTGGCCTCCTAGAAGCACACAGCAGAAGACTTTTTATGGAGCCAGGAATTCAGTTGGGTACCTAGAACACAAACTGTAAAAAGCCTTTTTCTCATGTTTTATTTGTTATATGTTTCTGCTGTAATTTTCTTCTAAAGAAGACTTATAACCTCTTAAATATTTCCTGTCAGGTGTTGGCTAGGTGAAATGCATCCCAGGGAATTGCAGCTGGAGGAATCACAACATCCCACATACAGAGCAGTCCAAATTTCTGCCAAACTCTTCACTGCATCTTTAACTCAAACCACTTGTACTCTTCGTGATTGATGCTTATAAAAAAAGGCAGACCTAACCCAGGAAAGTCTTCTGCAACCTGGCTCTGACTTCCTTCAAACAAAAACTTATGTACAGTCATACAGTTTAACAGCCTGCCCTGAGAGTTCCACATGGACCTAACACAGCATTTGATGAGGTGGTAATTGTTACTCCTCCCCATTTTCACTGTGTAGTTGGTGTTTGTGCCTTGTTTGCTGTGGGTCATTTAATTTAGACTGTCTTAGGAACCTGTGAACCTTCACCTGAGCAATTACATTGATGTGTGTGTGGGGGGGGAGATGAAATTAAATTAGACCTGAACCAAACTTACTCTTTGGGGAAGAAACCTTTGCCAACTTTAACAGGATAAAATTCCACCAGAATGTAATGCTTTATTGGGCTGTAGTGAAGTGTTGTATTGGGCTGTAGTGAATCTTTGGAGAAAGATTTCCATTTCATACAATACTTTCAAAACATGGATTGACCTTATGTTTTGTGGGCCATTATCCTTTTTCTCCTTGTCAAGCAAGTTCTAATTGCTCTGCAGATTCCTTGCACAAAGAACTAGAAGATAAATTTCATATTGAGAAGCTGGACCTTGTGAGAGGTACACAAGATTTCTGAGAATGCTAAGTCTGATTCAGACCAGCATTTTGTTAATGAGGACTTCCCCTGAAGGACTGTATATTTCCTCTGAAAGAGGAAGTCAGAAAACCCTTACAGTAAAAGTAAAGCTAATTTTCCAATTCAAATTTTTTCTGATGTGACCTTCACCAGATCTTAAATTTTAAATAGAGGAGTAGAGCATACTTTCTAATTAATCCAGATTGTACACATTCACCATGCTATGTAAATTATAATGCAGTTCTGCTTTTATTTATCTTTTGTTGCTGGTGGTGGTGCTCTGGTTATGTGGGTATGACTGAAAGTTGGTCTGATCTGGAAGTGACTTGGCAAAATGCCACCTGCCTGTCATTTCAAGTCTGATTTACAAAAAAACTGAAGGGTACAAGCTCTGGTGAAATATGCAGTTGGTAGATGGAGCCAACATTGGTCAAATTAGGGCTCTTTGTGAACGAAACCTATATTCTCCATTGCCAAATGTAAAGCTAAGCTGCCCAGGTGAGGAGATAAATCAGGACAAAGTGCAGAGATGGGTCCGCACAAAATCTGGTCGAATTTAGGTATCTTCCCCAAATACCAGGCTTTTGGTTCATTCTGCTGAAGAAGTAGAAGTCAGTCCCATTACTGGGGCTGTGCATAGCTAAGGGTTGAGATTTGAGATCTTCTATGTTCTTGTGTTCTTTGATATTTGAAAGCTAAGGTGGCAATAATAAAACCATGAAGCCCAAGTGAAAACAAATGGAAAACCACATCTGGAGAGAGGAGCCATTCTCTGTCCATGTTTCACTTGGGTTCTTGTATTGCCAGACATCTTCCAGTCCCCAGGACAGACCTGATATGATTAGATCAGAGCATCTCCCAGTTCACAAAATGTGCTTACTGCAAGGCAGTTGTTTCCTTTTTTGTTGTTGTGGGTGGTGATTTTTTTATTTTTTTTAGTGTTGTAGTTACTTGGAATATTTTATATAACATCAGCCACTGTGCAGATTTGTGTATTGTACTGTAATTACTTAAATAAGGGATTTTGTATGCTACAGCCAGTGATTCATGAACTGCAGGGTATCTGCAAAAACAGGCTTTCATTGGGATTATGGGATGTAAAATGCCTGAAGGTTTTTGCCTTTGATAGCAGACCTGCCGTTGCATCCGCACAGGGTTTGTCTAATAAATTGTATTAGTGCTTTCCAGCATCCTGATAACTTCCCTCCCCCAACTCCTTGTTATTCTGAAGTGTTTTGAAAGGAAACTGGTTCTCTGAATTATTGCTGTGGCAGTCACTAAAACGTATGTTCTGCATGCTTGGTGTTGACCATGCAGTATAACAGAGAAGAAAGTTGAAAAAGCTTCTTCAGGAATGACTTAATTCTGTTATATATGCAGTGACATAATTTTGATCTAGAAATAAGGAAGTTGTGGAGGGTGGAGGGAAAAGACTACAAATGGATGTTCTCAGTGTCTTCAAGGCAATATAGTCACTTAACTTTTTTCAGCTTAGGGTTATGTAGTTAATCCCCTACCTCCTTTTGGAAATAGTCTCAGCCACTGAAAATAAAATAAAAGTTGAGCTATTGTTGGATTTAAAGAATTGTTTAACTTGGCATGTCAAATAATTTTAAGCCTGTGAGGAGGAAGAGCTAAAGACAGGATATTTATACCTGTGTATCCAACGTGTAAGTCTAAAGCTTCTTCCTTCTGACATCCAGCAGGAACTAGAAAAGGGGAATCATCAATATCTTGCTATTTTTTATTTTTATTTTTATTTTTTTTCCCTGATAAAACAATAACAACAACAAACAACCCTAATTCATTCAGGGTATAGCAAGTTTCTGTCCTCGGTGACTTTTCTGTCAGCCCATTTAGAAATGTCTGCAAGCTTTGCCATGAAGATAGCAACAAAGTTGTTTTGTAGTTGCTTGTGAATTTTAATTACAACAGGTACAGTATTTCAGACATGCTGACACTTGTTGGTATGTCGGGATCCACATGGCTGCATTTTATTTCTACAGATTGGGAAAAATCCTTTTCTTATTCATATTTTTCTCAGATCTAGAGCTGTGCAGATAAAAGCAAAAGCAACAACAAAAAACTACTGCTACCAGCTCCCTTCCCTCTGAAGTCATCACAATTCAGGTTAGGAAGATCAGTAAGTAAAAAGTACAAGTCAAGGTACGTAAAATTACAGTGCATGTTTGGTGCCCATCAGATCCTTCACTGACTTTCGTTCCCATGCATGCAGCGTTATGTCAGCCATTATCAGCAAGAAAATCCAAAGCCTCCCAATCTCCACCCTTGTTCACTTTTGGCTGCACCTGTTTTGCCTAGTGTGCAGTGAGTTGTTTTCTGCTTTAAAAACTTGAGGGCAGCAAGCAGGGTGCAGCTGTGTATATGGTGTTACCGAATACCACGGACAAAGCTGTGTTTCCAGCTGAAATTCTCTGTTCAGCGAAGCACTTTTCGGGTTAGGTGCTTTGTAAAGGTTTGGTTTGGGTTTAAAAGCCCTGCTTGCTTCCATTCTTGCTGTTCTCAGCTCTCTTTTACAGCACTTGGCCATGCAAAGTGGCATGCCGAAATTGGGCACTGGGGGGGGGAGCAGAACTCACTGCCACTGTTTTCTGTATGTTCCTCCCTGTGGAGGCCAGGCTGGGCCTCAACCTGAGGAAGAAGCAGAATAGAAACTTATTGGAGAAGCGAGTCCCACCCTCAGGTACATGAATCTGCCAAGCTCTTTTATTCTAGTTCTCCCAGGTTTAATCACGTTTCTGTCTGTGGGGAGATACTGAAGTGGGCATGTTCTTCCCTTGCTCTGCCTAAGCCCACAACAATATCTCCTAGTGCTCAACCTGAATTTGCAGCATTCAAAAGAGCCTTTCCCTGTTTCCTCTTTTTTGTTATTTTTTTTTTCTTTAAGTCAGTTCACATTGATTAATCATTTTATAAATGTTTAGGGCTGGGATTGTGAAACCTTTGCTGGCAAGAATTTTTCCCCTGGAGTCAAGGAGACTACTCATTAGCATGACTACTTGCCAGCGTGAGGGAGGGATTCACAATCTGGACATTTGTAGTTTTAAAAATATGTCTCTATCTAGCTGATTTGGGCAGAAGAGGGCTGGTTATGGAAATCAGACTAACAGGCTATCACACTCTTGTCGTACTTCAGAATGTATCTATGGTAAATTAATGTATTTTTACTTAACACACTCGTTTAAACAGTACATCAGGTGTCTGACTGGTGTCTTTCTCCTTACGTACAACATTACATGAGACCTTTTCAGCATAAACCAAACCAAACTCTATTTTCTTAACACCTCCCCTCCCCCCCCCAAACTCCCACTTAGCTTACACACAGTATTATAATGTATATGGGCCAGTTTTGACAAGAAAGCTGGTATGGACCACTTACACAAACATCAGAAGCAGCTAGTGTTTGCAGGACACCTGTTTTTGAGTCCAGTGGGTGGAGAGGATAGAAGGTGAGGAGCTGTATAAGTCTGTGTCTGCAGGACATGGAGGTGGCATGGCTACACCTCTTGTTCCTGCTTGCAAGTAACAGAACTCTGAGGAAAGAAGTCTGGCTTCCTGACAGAAAGCCCTGTGCTTTATATCACTCCAGTTCCCTACTGTGAGTCGGTCACTCCCTCCCTTTTTTTCCTAAGGACAAGGGAAACAATTCTGCCTGTGCTCTGCATGGCTAACAGCAGCAGTGACCTTCAGGCTCGCCACTTTAAACTGCTATGGGATCATCCCAGTGAAAAATCAAAACAACGCTATCTTTCCCTTACCCCCACACTCCTCCGCCCCACTGCACGGCATTTATTCTCCTGCATGCAGCCTTGCTATCCAGCCTGGGTGCTGGGCTGCTGGAGCACAGGAGTTCCCTCCTCTGTCTGTGTCTCTCTCCACCTAGCACAAAGCTGACAGGGGGATTTTTCACCTCCTTACTTTCCTTTTTCCTCTTTGATTAACTTTGGACCAGATGGCCAGTCCCCAATCTCTCAGCATGCATTTGACTGACAGGAGCCTTTGATAAACCTCATAAGAATGAAGTCATCTTCAGGTCACCTCCTCTGCCTGGCCTTTAGCATCCCGCACATACCACCATTATCTGCTGAATAGGAGACAAAGGAAATTAGCTCCAATTCCCTATCATCCCCATTATTTCCACACTGATTTAAACAATGAGGCAATGAGATGCCCTTCACTTTCCTTCGAAAGGTACAAATGTCAGCTGTTAAGAAATGCAAACAAGAGGGTTCCCATGTTAATGGATGGGCTTCTTTGTAAAGCCATGAAGTGGTAAAGTGGATTTATTCACCGCCTGCCTGGAAAATGCTTAACACACTTTTAAACAAATTCTTTAACCACTTTTATTTTATACAACTGCATAGTGCCAGAGAAGCCTCATTGTTTTGGTCTGGAGATATATAATGAAGTGATATAGGCCACTCCTTTTCTTTTCTTTTCTTTTCTTTTCTTTTCTTTTCTTTTCTTTTCTTTTCTTTTCTTTTCTTTTCTTTTCTTTTCTTTTCTTTTCTTTTCTTTTCTTTTCTTTTCTTTTCTTTTCTTTCTTTTCTTTTCTTTTCTTTCTTTTCTTTTCTTTTTTTCTCTTTCTCTTCTTCTTCTCTTCTCTTCTCTCTCTTCTCTTCTCTTCTTTCCTTCTCTTCTCTTCTCTTCTTCTCTTCTCTTCTCTTCTTCTCTCTTCTCTTCTCTTCTCTTCTCTTCTCTTCTCTTCTCTTCTCTTCTCTTCTCTTCTCTTCTCTTCTTCTTTCTCTTTCTCCTTTTCTCTTCCTTTACCTTTACTTTCCTTAATTTAGTGTACGTTCCTTTCATTACTTTCCTTTCCCTTTCCTTTCCTTTAAGTTCCGTTACTTCATTTCATTGTATTCCTTTCCTTTCCTTTCCTGTCCTTTCACTGTCCTTTCCTTTCCTTCCCTTTCCTTTCCTTTTCCTTCCTTTCCTTTCCTTTCCTTTCCTTTCCTTTCCTTTCCTTTCCTTTCCTTTCCTTCTATACGTAGTTGTCGGAGCTTCATTTGAGATAGTCCTAAACTGAAGTCTGAGATACAAAAAGGTTTAGCTGCATATGAATGGGGGTTGGCCTGTTCTACCATGTGCCTGGTGACAGGACGAGGGGGAATGGGCTAAAGTTACGCCAGGGGAGTTTTAGGTTAGATGTTAGGAAGAATTTCTTTACTGAAAGGGTTGTTAGGCACTGGAACGGGCTGCCCAGGGAGGTGGTGGAGTCACCATCCCTGGAAGTCTTCAAAAGATGTTTAGATGTAGAGCTTAGGGATATGGTTTAGTGGGGACTGTTAGTGTTAGGTTAGAGGTTGGACTCGATGATCTTGAGGTCTCTTCCAACCTAGAAATTCTGTGATTCTGTGAATCCAAATACCGAGATGTAGGAACCTATCTCCAAGCTCAAGTGAGAAAACAAATTTGGATACCGTGGACAGAGGAAATGAGCATGAATCAGATCAGAATCTCTCCAGAGATTTGTAAGTTGTTACCTCACATTCACTTGGCTATTGACTTTTTACCTTTTATTTGAGAAAAGAAACAACAAGATGCCATAAGAAGTGTTGCCCCAGGGGTATGTAAGGCCAGGCATGCTAGAAAATATCTTTAAAATATTTATTTTGATAAGATTTCTTTCCCAAGATTGCAGTCTTCCACTTGAGTTGGTTTGACTGGCAGTTAATTCTGTTCTTTTGGCAACTGAAAGTATCTGAATGTTTGGGCGCATGCATGAAACCATTCTCCAGATCACTGGCACACCCACGTACATTACAGGAGATTAAAACAGCAAAGATTTCCAAATTAACTCTTAGGAAAACTGGTCCATAAAGCGTGCTTTGCATTAAAATATAAGTTGCTTTTCCTTGATTACTAGTGTCTTCCTTCTAAAGTAGTCAGAATCTTGCCTCCAAAACAGTGCTCACGACAAAGTCACCTCCTGATATACAGTTGAAAAGCATTGCACAAGAATATATCTTTTTATTCCATAGAGCAAGCAATAGGCTGGGAGCTAGGAACTGTGAGCTGTATTCTAGTTGCTTGCTATGAAGCATGGGAGAAGTGACAAAGTGTCAGGTCAAGAGACTGATGAGCAATTCTGTCCACCTGTTATGCCACGTTGCTAGACCTTGGCTTCCTGTGTAGTCAGTGGAAAAAAAGTCATCTTGGTACCCAACTCAGGCAAGTAGAGAGGTCAGTCATGCCTACTTGATGTGTTGTGACTGCTTCTCAGGAAGGTAGGAGTCTGAATCACTCCTTCCTTTTTGACCTTAGATGCCATTGTGGATGTGATTTCTAAGTTAAACTCTTATATTGGGCAGTCTGAACATGGCACTGCAACTCTCAGTCTCTGAAGGCCTTTCTGTTGCTTTAGAGTCACATGCAGTATTTGCCACAGACCTCTAACCTCTAATAAGCCTGACCTCTTTCTTTATAATTTTATCATACATACATACATACATACATTTCAGCAGTGTCAGAGAGAATTCTGGTGATGATCTAGGCCAATTTATGCCTCTGGCCACAGCCTGGCTAGACTCCTCCATGAACTCTGTGACTGGATAGTGGTGGCAGAACTGGAGTGTAAGAGGACACCTAAGTTTTAGACAAAGACATACTCTGTGAATTCAGATATACTACTGTTGCTGGAGGAGGACATTAATACATGTAAAGACTTTCTTCTTTTGCTGTGGGGAGGGAAGCCTTTTTGTGCATGGCTTCCCTTACTAGTACAAGAAGATCCAATTGTGGTCCTGCAGTAAAGGATTCCCATTCAGAGCTGAGCATATAAACTCAGCAGACGTGCACTAGCTGAAAGAGTGCTTAAGCAAGGTAAATTAAACCTAATTAATGAAAGTATTCATTCTTCAACCATTCCTGAAAAAAAAATAAAAAAAATAAACAAAAATAAATGTTTTGTTTCTTTTTTTCTTTACAGTTGAAAAGCTTCTAGTGTGGCCTGCACCATGAAAGGACTCCGACAGCTTTGCAATTATACCTTGTTCCTCCTCATTCTTCTGTATTCCATCTTGGAGCGGTGAATCTTCAATCATCACAATTTTGTTGGGGCTGACAAAAAAAAGGACAGTCTTCTGACAGCTCTGGAGAGCCTGTAATTCATGTTACTTCTTGAAGTATTTCACTAGCTAGCACCAAAGGTCAGATGCTTGCTTTCCTTTACTAAGCCTCTCCTTTTCAAGGCTGGTGTTTCTGTCTTGATAATGACCAACTTTGTCACCAAGCTGCCTTTTTTCTAACCTGACATCAAACTCACCATCTGACTGAAGATGATTCCTAGGCTTATCTGCTTAGAACATGGCCTAGTCTTGGGTGCAACAGGAATAGAGGGCTTCTCCCTGCAGTCAGAAGTCTCAGTTGTATTTTTAAGTCATCTGAAAGCACCTTTGCACTGGTAAGGGTGGGAAGCTCAACACATTTCCTTGCATCCTGCGTGTTTTCTGATTGACACCTAGAGCTAGAGGAGGAATTGAGCTTCTGGCAGTGGTTATGAGTCTGGCAATCACAAAGCTTCTCTTACAAACTAAGCTGTGTCAGGGTGCACATCAAGGACCAAAAATATTCCTATGAAGACCTTGCTTTCCTTAGATAGAGAAGACTGAGTTGTATGGAGTTACTGTGCGACAGGGATTGAGAGCTGTCGCACTACCAAGTGTGGTGGTTGGTTTGTTTGATTGTTTATTTATTTATTTATTTACTTTAAGCAGAGTTCTCTCCCAGAATTTCTTTTTCACATACAGCCTGTCACTGCTTGAGGTGTTTGGCTTTCTGTCTGTGTAGATAAATAGACACACCAAAATACTGTCACCAAGACGGTTTGACTTAGGTCACTTTACAGTAGATACTCAAGTCCCTCTGAAGAAGCAAGAGCATTGCAAAAACTGTAATCCCAAGGTTTTTATTTTGATTTATTTATTTTTTTTAAGCAGAAGTATCAGCTATCTGCAATTCAAAGTGAGGGTTTGAGGGTGGGGGGCTTATGCTTCCCATTTTGCTTTTAAGAAGGTCACAGCAAAAGCATGTGATTGAATATTTTGCATGGAACTGCCTATGACAAAGACAAAGAGAAGGGGTTTGTCATAGTGCTATGAAAAGAAAGTGAGAGAAAGCGAGAAAAAGATCTGTGTTAGATTTTTGAGGTATATTTGAAAGAATGAAATAATAAAAAAAAGCTTTCAAATCCTCAGGGACTTTCCAATTTATCAAGAAAGACACATTCTTCCTAATGAAAGGTTACTGACCTTCATGAATGTGACAGTTCAATTACAGCCCATTCATATGCAGAGCAGCCGTTGATAAAGGATTTAGGAAATGTGACTAGCATAGCAAAAAAAAAAAAAAAAAAAAAAAAGGGCGGGGGGAATGTCTACAAAATTATTTTTTATTGTGGTGCAAGAAATATAAATAAGATTCAGTCAGGTAGTAGAACCTTTTCTTCTCTGGCCGAGCAACCCATTAGATTTGCTTCAGTGAATGCATTGACTTTTTTCCTCTTCTTTTTCTACTAATATTTCTGTCTTTTTAATCCTCTGAACTACTAAACCTAACAAATCATAAAGCCCTTGGGGTGCTGAGATGCAAGGTTTCAAACATTTTTTCCTTCTGACTGGCAGAGAAAGCTGGAATGTGTCCTAATGTTATTTTAAGTGCTTGACTAGTATTTAAACTCTTAAATGGATGGAAAGTTAAAGCAGCAGCAAATGCACGCGCACATACATGTACCCCCCTTCCTTTTCCTTCCACCTTCTCCTCCCCCCTGCTTCCCCCCACACACTGAGCTTGGCCTCTCCAAGGCTGTTAATAGCCAAAGCAGATATTGGCTAGACTCTCTGGAGCCAGCCTTCAGCCAATGGAGGGTGACACCTGTGAGCTGATGTTTGTTGAACTCCTCCAGGTGTAGGAAAGATGCTTAAATTGACATAAGGCAGGAGCTGTAAAAACAGGCAAGTATGTCACTCATACATAGAGCTCCCTGGAAGATCCCAAGGCGAAGCCATTGCGAAACAGCTAGACAGAAGAATGTCTCAATTGCTTTGAAATAATTCCAGATTATCTGTTTATCTATCTGCATGCACACACACACTCAGGGATCTAGGCCTATGTGCACTGTGTGCACATGAGGTGTTCCTACAAAATAACATGAGGCTTATGTCCCTGCATACACACGTACAAACCCATCCTGTGTTTCAAGGTGATGGCAGGCTGACAATTGTAGAATTAGATGAGGACAATCCTTTGCTTAGTGTAAGCTCTCACAGGTGGCCTCAGGTGGAGTGGCAGTGGAGGAAGTTTAGTGCTGACCTGTATTCATGTTAGGTCATGATTGTATGGAAGGCATTGTCTTCCACAGAGCAGCAAACCCTACTCTTGATTTGAGGCAAGTCCTCAAATCCAAGTGCAATCAAATGGGTGTAAAGAAGTGCTAAAACTGTTTGTGGAAGGCAGAGCCAAAAGACATTTCCTTGGCCTCTGCTCACTATCTGTGAAATGGCATGCAAGTTTCTGAGAAATGAGAAGCTTGGTGCTACCTCCACCCAGACACAGAGCAGAAATTTTCCACACTGTGTTCAGGCACAGTAGAAGTGCAGGGACTGAGACTGTGATCCTTGTTCTCAGTAGTAAGGCAACTGTGGGAAGAAGATGCCAGTGCATCATATTTTCTGCTTCTGTTATGGCTGATTATGATTTCTGGGAAGTAAGAACCATTTTCGGTACTTCAAGTCAGTGCATTAGATACTTATCTTCCCTGTCTGGTTACCATCTCTGAGTGAATTTCAAGACCTGTCCCTAGTGGATATTTTGAGTACCCTACTGAAAATTGTATAAGTTCTCAGGAAGGGCTTGAGGGGCCTGTTCTTGAGTTCATGGGGCTTTCCATCAATAGTCATCCACTGGTACTCACTGCTTTGCAGATTTTCAACCTCTGTTGCCTCACTAAGGTTTAGGTGATCATTGTGGAGGAAATAACACTTCCTTGTCCTTAGTCTAATTTTAGATTGAGTGCTGGTATGAAATTAGCTTTGACAGCATACTGTCTCACAGTGAGGTATCCAGATAAAGTAATCAATCGGTCTTTATTGGTTCTTTCAGGTGGTGTTAAACTGCATAATTGTAAGGTATTGAATTATGGAAATCATGGTAGAAATTACTGGGATCCCTTTGGAATGGTCACATTCTCACTTCTTTTTTAAGCAAAAGTTCATCCGTTCAAAGAGCTTTTTAAGGCAGCTTCCTTTATTCTCCCTTTTGTTTAGCACATACCTGAGACATTCAGGAGGGTGTTAGGAAGCACCAGGAGAAATGAATACAATGCATTCCAAAAAGATCTGTTTAAAAAAATTATATATATATGTAGATGTAGATGCAAACCAAGTGCAAATGTAGCAGGAAACCCAGTGTCTGTTTTGGACACCCTGATGTTTTTTATATGCTACTTGCTTCTCCTGGCATTATGCAGCCCAGACTGCTCTAGAAGCTGTGGGCTTCTAGACAAACAAATGACCATCTTCCCTCTCATAGCCTTCCGCTGCCTCATAGTTCTACAAGATTAGAATCAAGGTCCTTTGACCACTGAAGAGGAGCTTCCTAGTAACATGCTTGCCACTTGTTTTTAATCGTGAGAGGGAAAACAAGATAAAGGGATTGAAAATACTGCCATTTTAAAGACCAGAAAACCTGTTTGGAGTCTTTCTGTGTAGTTGGATTCTTTGTAGGTAGGGTCCCAATCTAGCAAAGCATTTAAAACACTGAGACATTACATTTTCTGAACTGAGGACTGAATCAATTATATTTAAAATTGAGAGAGTACAAGAACTAATCCAAGTACATTGTATAAAATTCCGTATGTCATCCCTCAAATATGTTTTCTGCAACCTGCTGTAGTATATTTGGACTATGATGTGATACAAAGAGTTTACCGGAATTCATCTGGGATAACCTTTCCACAATGTTTTGTCTTTGCCTCTTGTAGATAACGCATGCCATCTAGACTTTTTTTTTAACTTCATAAGATCCACAAAACAAAACTGTAAAAATTTGGCTCAGAAAATCTTTACTGTCTTTCAGAATTAAGCTTACTTTTCACCACTAGTAAAATATATTTATTTTACTTCCATTGGACTGTGGACAATTTGATCAACTCTAATTTTTAGACAGCTTAATTTTCATTAAGATTTTAATATTCAAATTCAATTAAAAGCCATCTTTACTGAATGCAAAATAATAAAAATAATGCTCGTTACCAGCATCACAAGAACATTTCTGATCTCATTTGCCCTGGTTAAAAATGCTGTCTTTGTTTTCTGCTTACATTTAATTGGCAGAGTTCCTTTAAAGTTTACTCTTGGCCCTGAGACTTGAGAGTGCAGTCAGGCATGTGACTGAGAGCAGTCCTAATAGGCAGGCTGCATAACCTCACCAGCTAAAGCTCACAGGCTATGAAGGGGGTTGTTCACCAGGGGAAAAACACAGTCCACTGCCGCTCAAGCTAGCATGAACTTTATATACTACATGCCTTGCTGATTGATTAAAAATGTAGTCATCCTTAAAGGCAAATCACCTAAGGGCTTACAATAAGTTACAAATATAAAGATGGTTTTATGGAGTGTACTTTTACGTAACAGACTCTTTCAGGATGAGGACTTTGTTTGCAAAGTCAGTGCAAGTTGGTTGGTGACTCCTGTTAGCTTGCTGGTTAAGGCAGGTTCTCATGAATCAGTTCATGTGGAAACCAAACTGCACCTGAGCAAACATAGGAAGGTGGAGAACGAATTGCTTTCAGTTTGCAGCCACAAAAGTTAGAGTGACTTATGCATGTTCCAGTAGGGAAAACTTTCTCTCATGGCAGATTATTTGATAAGATATGGCAGAAATTAATTTTATTGGGGCTAGTAAATGTTAGTTATTGTATGGCTGCCCCCCTTCTAGCTAGATTTAAAGATTTATCTGGAGTAATAAAATGAATTTGACCCTCTGTCTCTGTTACTCTGATGCCCTCAGTGAACTGGTATGAGATGGCACACAGGAAAGTATGACACATTTGCATATGTATTCTCTAGATACCCAAAAGAATAAGTAAAACAAGGTATCTGACAGTCCATGTGCTTTTTATGGTAGGCTTAACAGTATGTAGCCACAGCTTCAGCTCAGCCTTAAGAGCATCGGGAACAGAAGAGCGGGTGACTGTGCAGGTGACAGCACATTGTGTCAAGGCCAACAAAATGGCCTCTGAAAGAGTATTCATTCCATTCCATTGATAGGCAGTTACTGCATCAAACTCTTGACAGATTTTTTCTTGCATATAGTAAGAACAAATATATATATATATATATATATATATATAATTCATTTTCTAAGCAGATGTGTTGCTCTACCAGTGTGTACTAGTAACCCCCTTTTCATTTAGGCAGCTTTCAATGTGGGCATAAATTCTTTCATGTGCAGCTAATTAAAACTGTGCTGAAGAAGATAAAGGCACAGCAAGTGCATGTATTATCTGTCTGGCATGGTGTATACTCAACATGTTAGGGTAGAGACCACTCTGTCTATTGTCTTACAACATATCAATACTAAGAACTGGATCCAGACAGGCAATGTTGGCTCATATCCAGAATATGTTACAACTGTATGTGTATATATCAAGCCTGAAGTATTTAAACAGACCCCAACTCCGGTGTATCAAAGTGTCTAGAAAACACATTTCTTCAAAAGAGCCTTTTCTACTTTGGAATAAGCAAGAAAAATAGTAACAGGCAAGATATATTACAAAATCTGGGCCCCCATCCAGGAAAAGCACAAGTTTCCAAGATCCTCACATTTTTACATTATGGCCTATATTGAGGTCAAACCTTTTTAAGGTGCAGATTTTTCTGCTGGGTACTTGAGAAGGAAACAATGTGGGTTCATTTCCATTTTGATTCTTTATGATGCATAAAGGAATCCTGTGAAATTTGATTTTTAAAAGGTTGTGGCTTCTTTTTTCCTTCTCAGTTCTATTCCTGACTTGTCACCTGATTTTCTGTGTTTTTTGGGGCTGTTAGTGCTGAGGATTGTGGATCCCTCCTTGAAGAGGAAAGATGCTGAAGCTTTAACAGACTTTCTCCAACAAGCTTGAAACTTCTGAATCTTTGTTCATTTAAAACAGGTTTTGCTTTCATTGTATCTCTTAACTTTACTGGTTTTCCACAGAGTCTCACTATGGCAATGAGATAATGAAAGCATGAATTGATACTGTCCAGAAAGAAAAAGACACTGGGGAAAAAAAATCCATTAGAAAATTTATCAATAATAATAATGACAACGACAACAATAAAAATAAAGCTGGAAAACATCCTGTCTATTCGTATGGCATTGGGATAACCCTTAAAGATTTTTTTCTAAGATAGAGAAAAATCCCCTCAGTGGGTTCAGCAGTTAATTTCTTCTGGCCACAGAGAGGGAGGGTGTAGCATTGGCACAGCTTGGGATTGAAGGCTGCTTCCCGGTTCCCCTCTTGGGTTCTCCTGAGGGCTGTACTTGGTGACTCCAGATCAGGACTGTGTTCAGCCTGCCAGGTGGCCAGTGCTGTCCTACTGGTTTGTGCCAGGTGAGAGTTATTGCATATATATTACATACTGCTGTCTGCCCTTGGCCTCACGCTGTAGACACTGATGAAAATACTTTCCACTCATCCCCTTGTCTGCCACAGTTAATCCTGTGCAGCCATTCTTTTTAATACTGCATGTGGATACATGCAAAATTCATTACTAAGATGCCTTGTTCAGGTTTATCTTACTTTCTATTTCCTTTGATTATAAGGAGCCCCAGGGATTTCATCTTGTGGCATATACTGACCATTCAGTGGAGCTATTAAGAAAAGAGGTAAAATAGGGTGATGTATCATTTCTTGCTAGCCAGTCAGATACATAGTTTAACAATGATGCTATGACTTTTTTCCTTACTTGATTCATGTTTTTTGTGAATCGCTGACAGAGTCAGTATCAATCTTCCAAAAGATGGGAACACTTTCCAGTGGCTGCTTTATTATACACGGATGGTATGCACATCCGTTGCACAGGCTTTGCCTGGACAGAGCAAAGTTGAACATTTGCACGTACTGACAGTCTGACAGATGGAGAGCACATTAGATCTACCATGTATGTGCTGTGCAGATGCCCCTAAGTCTGTCCTGAGTTCATCCAACCTGCTGTCTATGTGGGTTGGCTGTTGGCTCAGTGCAGCTGTGTTGGCCAGATTTGTCATGACAAGTGCTGAGCTGTGCTCCTTGGTTTGCTCAGGGTGGTTGGACATCTGCAGCTTAGTGAGAACCATGTCACTGCTCCTGCTTGGACCTGTCTGTAGGGCAGCCAGCAAGACCAGGCAAACATCCCAATGCTTCTTTTCACTCAGATTTCCGGACAGATAAAAGAGGACGTGTTTGGTGAAACTGGCATCTAGAGTGACTGCAGTAATCTATCAGTTCGTGGCCTCCTGTAACCTCTTCAGGGAGTACTGTCCTATGCAGTTCTGGAGTGCCACTAACCTTTGCTCTCTGCATCTCCTCTCCTGCAAGTAAGGCCAACAGAATGGGTAAAGCTAAAAGAAAATGATGCTGTCTGATAAGCCACAGTGACTGGAATAGCCCTTCAACTTTGCTAGAGACATCATAATATACCATGAAAGCTTAAGTACTACACAGTCATTAGGTTTGGGCCCTAGGCATTTTCTGGGGTGAATTTTTTGCATTTCCACAGGAGGGGTTTGCAGAACCTTTTCATTTCCATGTTTTCTGTCCTGATCTTGAGTTAAGTGGTAGCCATTAATCTCAATGTTTCATATTAAGAAATCTGGGAAGTCTATGCCTTCCACTACTGCCTCATAGAAAAGCTTGCTTCACATACAATGAAAGATAAGGGGTTTATTTTTTTGCTAGAGATTGTGTGGGTAAGAAGGCATCCAATCTGTCAAACTCTTCATGACTAATAAATATTAACTGCTTCAATTCTTCTAATTATTATTATTTTTATTTTTTTTTAATGTGTGGCCAACTACTTAAATATTTAACCATCTGCCAAAAACACACTTGGAGGTTTATTCTACAACATACAGACAATATTGTAGACAATGGAAACTTTTAATATAATCTCTAGATGAATATAACATTGATTTTTTTTCCTCAAGTCAATAAAGATAAAATGTAGTGTGTTAAATGTTGTCAGGGTCTCCGCATAATGACACCCCCAGTCTCCTCTAATCACTCCTCTGTTCCAACATGTTGGAGGATCATATTGTCACAGAAGGGTTGAAAAACTCCCTGTGTTAAGATACTGAACAGTTAGTTAACCCATGTTGGACACAACGGAGCTAGCCACAGGATATGCCCATGCCTCTTCTATGTGATGCAATAGCTGAACACAGTAGGATGCATACAGACCAAGAATAATGATACTCATTTTCAATTCAAGCTTAGCAAAGCAGATGTATACCAGCTGGGCTTCCACCTCATGGTCTTCTCACTTTCACTTTCTTTTGCATTCTTTGCTTCTCTTGATCTAGCAATGTCTGTAAGACTGATGCCTTGGGGGGAAAAAAGGGAGAGAGAGAGACTTTGAAATGCCAGGCAGCAAGCAGGAACAATCCAGACAGCAGGTGATATTTCAAAGCTTCAGGTCAAGATGAATCATCAAGCCCTGAGGCCCTATATTACTTCAGATCCCCAGAAGCCGCCTAAATTCCAGAAGCTAACTGACCTCTTTAAAGGTGGTAATGAATAATCAATACTATATTTGATCCCTTGCATGAAGGTATTACAACAAATGGCACTATGGCTTTTGAAAGGAAGAATAACATTTTGATCTTACATGGTAAAATTGCCATGCTCAAGACTACCTCCTGGCTCATATGCTTAATTATGTAATGATATCCAGCTGTACTACAAAGGTGTCTTGCAGAAAGCCAGGCTCCACTAAGAATAAAGGGTCTGATAGGAAATGTTTAGACTCTGAGATACTCTGACACAAAATTATGTTTCTGAAGAGAATCCCTGGTTGTGTGTTTTTATGGTGTTCTGCTCAGGACCAGGCAACCAAAACAAGACCACGCTCAATAAAAAAAGGTTTATAATTTTAACTGGGGAGACAGAGCAGACTTTGGGTCTAGTTTCACCAACAGATGAAGAAAATGTCATTCAGTGAGATCTAAAAGGCTATAGAAGAGATAAATTATTCCTCTCCTTACCCATTGTTCTTCCCCTCCCATCAGTTGTACTTTCCCTGCAATGCAACATTAGAACTGTCTTATGAGATAGAAGTGTGAGGGACATCAGCTCGAGCTGTCTCCTCACTGGTCAGGTAAATAGAAATGTGTTTTGGATATGGATTAAGCTGTGTTGTGTGTTACAGATGTCTGAGTACACATGGACTTATGAAGCTGCATTTTCTATCCAAGCAAGGCAAGGAGCCCTGCTGAATTCAAGTAGTCCTGGAGAGGTGACTTCCTCCGTTTGAGTTGTTGGAATAGTATTTATTTATGTATTTGTGAAAGCTCTTAAAGGCTTTTTATTTTTTTTTTTTAATATAAATTAGGATCCTGGGATGCCTGCCACATTGGCTAATGTTTCTCTCTGAATTACATGTGGGACTTGTACATCTTTCTTTTCTTCTGGGATGGTATATGTACGTCTTTATTGGTTTATATAGTAGTTGTCTCTTGTTCATAATGAAGTGCTGAAAGAAACAGTATATACAGCCTTGGGTTTGGAGCAAGAGATTATAACACTGTCACTAACAGTGCACCAAGGACATACTACAACACAAAACCTCTAGCATTAATCCTGAAATGGACTTCACACCATCCATGCCAGTGGTAACAAAGTCCATTAGTGGAGCCTTGCTTTTGGTTATATGTTGTATTAATGACTGAAAGCTCTTAATTCAGTGAACAGACAGATTAGATTCACTTCCCATATTTTTTGGCTGTTGAGGATGAAAGCTCAAATGATGCTTTACACGTAGGAACTTCACAGGTTCTCCAGATGAAGAGTCTTCTTCTTTTCATCTTGAATGTGACTGATGATACTGTGCTCTGTTTACAAGGTACAACATTTATTTGCAGGTGACTTTCTTAATTTTATATTCATTCTGTTTAGCATTGAATAGGTGAAATAGAAAATGTGTTGTTATTATTGTTGTAGAGATTTCTGAATTTAAATCAAGAGAGAAGAATCTTTGGAGATGACCTGAGCCCTACCACTAAGTTTCAGGGGTGGGAGGGTTGGCAGCATCCCACAATCTGCTGGAGGCCTGTTAAATCCATTTTCAAGAATGCTCTCCTCCCCTAGTCCTATGTCTCACTTGAGTGAAATTTGTATCCACATTGGTATTAGAAGCAATTGTATATGGAGAGAGGTATTTCACAATACTACAGCTCAGCAGGAAGTTCTGATCTTGAACCAACAAGGCTCCTTGGATTTGGTGGGGATGTGTACAATGACTTAAGTAAATTGCCAGTGTTTAAGCACTGTTAGCTTGAACCTATTTGTACTTTTCAGCTCCTGTTCCAAGACAAAGGCTCAGTAGCTACTACCACTCCTCACTGACTGTGCTATAATCTAACTTTTTCTTTAGCCTGGCTCTTTTCAATCACTTGATTCCAAAGTTACTCCTTCCCTCTATACAAACTAGTCAGATCATTTTCTGTGAGTATTCCAATTTAATGAGATTTTTCCAAAAGCCTGTCTTGTTGAGGCACAGGTGTGCAAGAAGAAAACATCACAATCCTAGAAACAGAATTATGGAGGAAGAAAATTTGAAAGATATTCGATATCTAAGATGTAGTACTTCATAACCAAGTGTTAGTTCTCTCCTCTTTATGAATTATGATAATTCTTCCTTACTTTTTAGTAAATTCTGCTGTTCACAGTTGGGGTGTGTGTATATATGCATGCGTGTGTGTGTGTATATGCAAGTGAGAGCATAGATGTATATATAGAGATATATGCCACAGTTTGCTTCAAGGTGAATTTATGACAATTATTCATAGCTGAAGCAACAAAAAGAGGGAAATTAATATATAAAGGAACAGAGTTCCTAATGGTTCTATAAGATAACAATAAAGGAGTTTGTATTGTCTTTCTATTTCATAGGAAATTCCATGACTGTGCATATAATAAGCCCGTGAAAGGTGGGACACCAGAGTGGTGGAATGCATTGACAATGAATGCAATCTTCTTTCAACTGCTGATGGATTTTCTGTAGATTGTATCAGTAGGAACAGCAGAAATGAGATGCAGTGTATTCCTTCCCTAGAAGAGAGCTGTGACTGGAATCTTTGACTCTTTTTTCACTTGTTTAGCTAGCCTGGTGATGCTATCAACTTCAGGAGAGCTTTTGTTTAGGGTTGATTTTATTTTTTTCTTTCTCTGTATTTTACCTTCATCTCCCTACCCAAACCTCCGTATTTCTTTTCATGTTTTCACTGAATGTAAACAAATACTCTGACAGCCAGGAGCAAACCTATAAGTAAACAGAAGCACAACACCACTTAATTTAAATGTTAAACAAAAACTGTTCTAACCCTAACTCAGTCATGCTCTCTGGGGTTGTTAAATTAGTGGCAGTGTGCTACCATTTTCCCACAAGTGGCTACCACAGTGACAGCAGTCTGGTACAAAAACATCCAGAAAGGTTTAAATTACTTGAAATGCAGGTAGCAGTCAAGTTATAGCAACACGGTACTCAGCACAAACTAGTTAACCCTAACTTTTCATGTAGGTTTACTGAAGTCTGTGCTGACGCGATGACTGTAAGTTCCCAGAGAGTTTTTAAGTCTAGCCAGGGGTATGCAGTAGCCTGCACTACCTACCAGCCACCATGTGACTGCAATTTAGATATACACTTCATGTCAGCAGTCTTGTACTGAAAGGGCCTTGCTCTTCTTCCATCTCCCAGGGAAGATCAATGAAAAGGAGGTGAGGTCACAAAATGGAAGCATCTTGGGCTCTGACCAGGAAGGATGTATACTGCAGTCCAGTTCAAACAAGCTTCCTTGTAGAGAACATTTAAAATCTCTATAAATCCAGATTCAAGGACTCAGTTATGTTCACGGCCCTCATCTACTGTCTGTAATGATTTCCATTAACCAAGTGGGCAGATGGAAGATTTTGGAGGGCAAGAGTCTACAAGCAAATAGTACTTTTCAATGGATGATAACTTTGATTTCAATATTCATATCCTAAATCATTATTCAATGTAACATTTGCAGGCTCTGACCCAGGTGGCTCTGCCTGGTTTGAAGGACTCTTTCCTGTGAGATAACCTTTTTCTTCTCTGTGATTAACTGTCAAAAACATATTAGTCTTTACACCCATGTTTGTCTTGCTTAGTCATCTCTCCAAAATTTTATTTGGACTTAAAAAAAACAACCAACCAACCAAAAAAACAAACAAACCACTACTGAAGACAAGGTTTGTTAGTAAATAAAAATGTATGTTATAAGGAAAGTCTTGAAAGAGTTAAAAAAAATAAATAAATAAGAGTCCATTTCAAGCCTTTACATTTTGAAAACATTGATGAAATTAGTTTTTCACTGTTTTACCACCACTACTTTCAAGCTTCCTTCCCACGCTGCTGTGCGAGTTACTTGCAGAATACTCGGGGATACAAATCTTCACCAAGCTTGACTCTCAGTTTCTCTGACAAATGCTCATGCTGTGAAAGAAGAGACATTCAGCTGCCCTGGATTGAGCAGGCTGTCAGACTTCCCCAGAGAAGTTACCATGGAAAGAAGCTTCTTCGAAACCTTGTTTAAAGTGAGGGCTGTTAATCAAGGCCTTGGTGCTCTCATTAGAGAGGGAGGGAACCATTTAAAGTCAGGAAGCTGCAGTATATGAAAGTCATGAAATTGAAATGAATGCATCTTTTGCCAGCTGGTTTCACACCCCCAGTTGGCAATCCACAAAGGTTTAGAGGGGGAATTAAATCCATTTTTCAGCAGAAATAACTATTTTTGTGATTATCATATAGATTCCATGAGCTACACTTTGGTCCTATCAAGACAGGCAGGCAGCTGCATGAGAGGTGGAAAGAGAGAAAATGATTGAGATGAAATCACCACCAACAACTATTGCAGGCAGGAAGGCAGTTTTGGATCCCAGCCACAATACTTCTGCAACCTGGTTTGAATGGGCCTGACGGGATGCCATAATGGAACCTACACTGAACAAGGTACGTGGAAAGCTGTCTGACATGGGCTCTATTTCAAAGAAAAAATACAGTTTCCATCCAGGCTTTAATTGCTTTTATTTTACTTGTTTTGCTCTTGGGGCTAAGATTGCTTTCAATAAAATGAGATTTAAAAAGTAGAGTAAAATAACACTCTAAAACAGAGTCAAATGAGAAGAGCTTGGAGAAGAAAGGGTTTGTCCTAATGTCAGTCTTTAAACCAGCTGAAAGGCCTGAACAAAATGGATGACTGAAGTTTATTATCGCTGTTTGGGGTACAGTTCTGCTCTTACACATTTTTCTGAAAAGCCACTAGCCTTCAAAGTCCAATACGTTTTACTAGAGCAGAAGTGGAGCGGCATCTGATTTTGGTTGTTTTTTTTTTTTTTTTTTTGTCTGACCGTTACCTCACTGCAGAACTGATGACACAGCTCCCACCTTTATCAGCTCTGGACACAATCTTAGTTTCCAAGTACAAATGCTACAACTGAGTTTCAGTTGCAGAAAAAAATCTGTTTTATGTATCAAAGGTCAGGATCAAGTCCTTAGCTGTGAATTGCAGGAGTATAAATACTTTCTGGCAATCAAACTTTCGTTGTCTGGTGTATCTTCAGAGTCAACAATTGTGGCGCCTGCTGTTTCTGATGGCAATTTCCCCATCCCCTTTTGGATTACTGGAAATTCATCCCTGTGCAAAGAGCACTTGTATCTCTTGAAGTCCCAATTTGTGTCCCGTTGTGATTATTTAAGAAGTGTCTGGGAGCCTTGTAGGAACTGAGCCCTGGGATAAACTAGAGATTAGTTTCTATTTACTGCAAAGTACCAGAAAGCGTGCTAGCCAAACATCCCTGGCAGAAAGGCAGAGAACATCAAACTGTAGCACTCCAGCGCCCTTGCCACTGGTGTGACTTGAGTGCTCATAGCAGCTCTTGCTGCGCACACAGGTAGAAGGTCAGTGTATTTCTGTATTAAAATAGAGAAAAGGGAGGTTGAGAAGAAGAGAATAAAAATGTGTGGCCTTTCTGAGCTCTCATAAAAACAGCAACAATTTAGATAAGATAAAATAAGAACTATCCATTATCTCTAGGCATTACTGTAATGATTACTAAATATTAGAGAGAAAAAAAATATTTTCTATCTAGAAGATGGCATATCAGTTCTTGAGGGCTTACTAGCAAGACACCCTTGTACTGTTCCATTCCCTCAGAGAACCCACCTTTTAATATTTCTTCTGTTGTGAAATAGAATAAATATGGGCAGATCATTGTTTTAGAGACTGGTACTTTGTAGCTTTGTGTAGAAGACTCCACTGATTTATCCAGCAAAAGAGAAGGGAAATATCCACAGTCTCCATGTTGCTGGTTTGCCAGTTATTGAATACTGCAGATCAGTAGTACACAACCTTTTCAGAACCCATGTGTCATTCTGACAACTTTCCAGGACCAAGGGGGGCAGACTTAATCTGCATGCATATTAACATAAATTTACATAGGAATTGAATCAGAGATGAATGTGCACAGTTGTTATTATTGTGTATTTACAATAAACTGCACTGTAAGTGTTGACAGCGCTTCACAAAACAGAGAGGAAGACAAAACATTCTTTGAGAGTTGAAGAGTAAGTGAAGCACCATTTTCCTGAAAATGGTTCTTCATGTCTTCCCAAAAAATTGATATGGCCACAGGCATAGAGGAATGCAGCTTTGAGGCTGTTAGGTGGCTACTGTATTTGTATGAATAGCAGATTAAATCTGATCTTCCACAGAGAGAAACTTGCTGTAGTCTGCAGTTTGGAGGAACCCTGACTTTTTCAGGGATAGAGATAAGGATTTGGGAATTTGTGTGCCCTCATCCAAACTTGTATCTCAACTCCCACTTTTTTACTGAATTACGCAAGTTCCACTTCTCTGTATAACAAGAGGAAAAGTTTCACTTATCTTACATTTCTGCCTACTTGCTATTTAACACGGAAGCAGACATTTCTAAGCTTGTGATGAAAGAAGAGTTGCAACAGTGCTGTGTATTTGAAGACAAGACAAGGAAAATTTGCTGTCTCCTGGTATGGGAAAGTCAGTGGTGCACAGTAGGGTTACAAGTAAAACCCTTTCATGCTATTTCACTGCTAAAGAAAGGATCCCCTCTGAAAAGACCTTTAAATAGATGTGCTTTTGATGTGATGCAGAAGAAAAAAAAATATTCTAATGTTGATTTTTTTTCTTTTTTGAAAATTAATCAGCAGTGGGCACTGACATTTAATAAACTGGCCTGTAGCATCCCTGGGCATAGAACACCCTGGGAAAAACTCCAAACTGCCAACACAATTGCTGGATAAGCCAGCCTAAGGGGCCTGGAGGGCACTGCCAGAAGAAATATCCCCTTTAACTTTCAGCCATGGTGAAGCTGTGCATTCATTACCAAAGAAGTGGAAGAACACCGTGATGTGCTCTGACTACATTGTTTAATATACTTGTTTAGATCTTGGAATTAACTCTTATTTGACCATTATTTTTGATGTCTTTTCTCTTGAGAAAGTGAAAAATAATAAGGAAAAGGATGTATGTGTTCAGCACATCTCTTTCTGTACTTTGTTTTTGGGAATTGTGTAGTTCAAGACAGGGTGGAAAATGAATGAAACCTTAAAACAATACACCTGTTAGTTCAAATAAATCATATTAGACCCTGGGTTGAATGTGTCAGCTTGGGAAACATCTTATTTAGAACTATGTGGATGCTAGCAAAACTTTGAGGGTCAGATTGTGGTACAGGTGTAAATCAGAGTAAGCCCTGCAACCTTTGCTGTAAATACACCATAGTAGGGGCAGGGTGTTCAGAATGTCTTCTGACAGATATCTGACCTCCTTTAGGACCTTAAGAATGAGAGGAAAGTGGCAGTGAGTTGGCTCTCAGAGTCCCAGGTGGTTTCCCATTGCAGCTTAACTGGTCCCCCTTCATCAGTTACTGCTTGTATATGTGAGCTCTTATTCTTTGGCAAGTATGATGTAATGCAATTTATCCTCATCTTTTTTTCAATCCAGGTTATCCTTGTGAGCCTAGGTCTAAAGAAGAAAGAGAAACAATGACCTTTTTGGATACTTTTTCAGAGGGCCTGGTCTCAGGGTATAACTGCATCTATGAGAATAGGAGATTGATATGGTAGCACATGCCTCTTTGTCAAATTTTTCTTGGCTGTTTGGTTCAAAACCTTGTCTTTCATGCTGTGTGAGTCACTTTTCTATTGGCAGTCTAAAACAGGCGAATGAAGCAATCCTACTGCAAATCTTGGGACAATTATTGGCCATCCTAAAACATATACGTGCCTTTTGTCTGAACAAAAAAAAAATCATAAATAATGTTATCCCTGTGAATCAGAGTAACCCAACTCAGGGCTTTTGCTTACAAATCATCTCATAAATTATTCAGCCAGTTCCAATTTTTAGGTGACTTGCTGAACGGAATCTAGGTCATAAATTGACATATCCTAAATTGGGCCAGTGACAGGATGGATTACATAAGGACTTTCACTGCAGAGCCCCAGGTCCTAGCCCCTGCTGCAATAAATAATTAAGTATTTTATGGAGCATGGGATAAATCCAAGAGACTGGGGAAGCTTTGATTTAAAATACACTATAGCCTAGTGGTTAGAAGCAATTCCTGGGAGACTCAGGCTCTGTTCTGTGGTCTAAATCAGGCAAAAGAGGGAGTTGAGGCCAGTTCCAGCCTCACAAGGGACAAGTCTGGCTGGCAATAGGTGGGAAGGTGGTCATGTTCCCTCCAGGTGCTTTTTGTGAGGCATCCACCTGGGAGGCATGTTGTTAGAACCTGAAAGCCAAGCCGAGGAATGTTTAATTCTTGAAAGTGTAGATCAAGCCTCAAGCTCCTTACAGACAGTGTAATGCTTGTCTCCAGCAGCTGAAACATAAGGTACTTTTGTTATGTAACGTTAAGCATCTGTAAATTTAGTTGACCAAATGGGAGATGTCTTGTAGATCCAAATTTGAGTTCAGGTGCCTAACATGTCAGCCCATTACTTTAGGCTATTTATGAGTTGGGTATCATGTGCTTTTATGTTTACTATAATATTTTCAATTCTTTCCCCACACTGCTATTTTGAGCTAACCTCAGTACCCACAGAGGGCTCCATGACCCATCCACTGACTGCTGAGTTTGCTATGAGACTAACTGTAACTCTGAGCCTGGTTTTCCCTCCCATCTGGCAGCAAAAATGAACTGCTGCTGACTGAATGACCACTGATTCTCTTGGAAGCGGAGCTATGCTAACAGCAACAGCCAACTCTGTCACCATTTGTGAGGATTTGTAGCTTGGGCTCTGAGACATCTGGCTGAGATATTTACGCAGTCCCGTATTGCACTCACTGAGGCTCTGCTTTCACATCTGGAGTCTAGACTGAGTGACTCTATGGGCTGGCCTTCAAGCCTCCAAGCAGCTCATGTCCCTCTTGTTCTCGCACTTTGTCTTTTTATTGCTTTATTGGTTTATTTATTTGCTGTAGGTGCTCCTATCATATCTCCTCAGACATTCCTGTAATGGCCACTTGAGAGCTTCAGTGAGGAACAGCAGCAACTGAAAGAAACCGGGCAAAGGCAGACAGGATGTACAGGGAAAAAGGGCTGTGTTGAGGCAAGGCTTTGATTGCGTGGTTGTGGTAATGGGGAATGCCTGGTGCTTGATTATGCTGTTTCTTCTGAGTTGTACAGCTGTGACTGTGGGAAATGACAGTGCTCAGCTGCGCACAGCTTGCATTCAACACATGTGACAGGGAGCGGGGGTTTCTGTAAGCTGCTAGAGTTGGCCATGTGGTTGAGCCGGGCAGGGAAATGTGGTTGAGCCAGGCAGGGAAATGAGTCGCACACTACCCTGAGTCAGATCCATCAGTAGGACGCAGGTACAACCTGGGTCTTCACAGAGATGTTAAACTTCAACCTGGTTAGAGTTGTCCTCTGGATGGAGACCATTCATTGTCCCCAGGGATAAGGCAGGGGCCC